GTGAGGTGGGCTGCCAGGTGTGGGCAGTTACCTGTGCTGCTCTCTAGTGGCCGCCTCTCACCTGTCCAGTTGGCTCACTTCTCTCACCTGTTGGGTTCTGTTGGGTGTATACAGTAGTTGGGTTCTGTTGGGTGTATTATACAGCAGTTGGGTTCTGTTGGGTGTATTATACAGTAGTTGGGTTCTGTTGGCTGTATTATACAGCAGTTGGGTTCTGTTGGGTGTATACAGTAGTTGGGTTCTGTTGGGTGTATACAGTAGTTGGGTTCTGTTGGGTGTATACAGTAGTTGGGTTCTGTTGGGTGTATACAGTAGTTGGGTTCTGTTGGGTGTATACAGTATTATAGTTGGGTTCTGTTGGGTGTAGTTGGGTTCTGTTGGGTGTATACAGTAGTTGGGTTCTGTTGGGTGTATTATACAGCAGTTGGGTTCTGTTGGGTGTATTATACAGTAGTTGGGTTCTGTTGGGTGTATACAGTAGTTGGGTTCTGTTGGGTGTATTATACAGTAGTTGGGTTCTGTTGGGTGTATTATACAGTAGTTGGGTTCTGTTGGGTGTATTATACAGCAGTTGGGTTCTGTTGGGTGTATTATACAGTAGTTGGGTTCTGTTGGCTGTATTATACAGCAGTTGGGTTCTGTTGGCTGTATTATACAGTAGTTGGGTTCTGTTGGCTGTATTATACAGTAGTTGGGTTCTGTTGGCTGTATTATACAGTAGTTGGGTTCTGTTGGGTGTATTATACAGTAATTGGGTTCTGTTGGGGTGTATTATACAGTAGTTGGGTTCTGTTGGGTGTATTATACAGTAGTTGGGTTCTGTTGGGTGTATACAGTAGTTGGGTTCTGTTGGGTGTATTATACAGCAGTTGGGTTCTGTTGGGTGTATTATACAGTAGTTGGGTTCTGTTGGCTGTATTATACAGTAGTTGGGTTCTGTTGGGTGTATTATACAGTAGTTGGGTTCTGTTGGCTGTATACAGTAGTTGGGTTCTGTTGGGTGTATACAGTAGTTGGGTTCTGTTGGGTGTATTATACAGTAGTTGGGTTCTGTTGGGTGTATTATACAGTAGTTGGGTTCTGTTGGGTGTATTATACAGCAGTTGGGTTCTGTTGGGTGTATTATACAGTAGTTGGGTTCTGTTGGGTGTATTATACAGTAGTTGGGTTCTGTTGGGTGTATTATACAGCAGTTGGGTTCTGTTGGCTGTATTATACAGTAGTTGGGTTCTGTTGACTGTATACAGTAGTTGGGTTCTGTTGGGTGTATTATACAGTAGTTGGGTTCTGTTGGGTGTATTATACAGTAGTTGGGTTCTGTTGGGTGTATTATACAGTAGTTGGGTTCTGTTGGGTGTATTATACAGTAGTTGGGTTCTGTTGGGTGTATTATACAGCAGTTGGGTTCTGTTGGGTGTATTATACAGTAGTTGGGTTCTGTTGGGTGTATTATACAGCAGTTGGGTTCTGTTGGCTGTATTATACAGTAGTTGGGTTCTGTTGGCTGTATTATACAGCAGTTGGGTTCTGTTGGGTGTATTATACAGTAGTTGGGTTCTGTTGGCTGTATTATACAGTAGTTGGGTTCTGTTGGCTGTATTATACAGTAGTTGGGTTCTGTTGGCTGTATTATACAGTAGTTGGGTTCTGTTGGCTGTATTATACAGTAGTTGGGTCTGTTGGCTGTATTATACAGCAGTTGGGTTCTGTTGGGTGTATTATACAGTAGTTGGTTCTGTTGGCTGTATTATACAGTAGTTGGTATAAATAAGTCAACTATTCACTATTGTTACCTGTCGGCTCGAGGTGTTAGCTCCTGGACCCCGCCTTTCTAACCGGCGGTTGTCTAACAGGTTCCGACTCCCGGGCAAGAGTGGTACTTAATTCTACTACATATATTAACTCCCTCCCCCCCCCACACACACACACACGCACACACAAACTCACTCACAAACTCACTCACAAACTCACTCACAAACTCACTCACAAACTCACTCACAAACTCACTCACAAACTCACTCACAAACTCACTCACAAACTCACTCACAAACTCACTCACAAACTCACTCACACACACACACACACACACACACACACACACACACACACACACACACACACACACACACACACACACACACACACACTAGATGTAAGACTATACCCTAGCTTACCCTAGATGTAAGACTATCAGATATAGAGGTGACAGCAGAGGAGGTAATGAAACAGTTGACAACACTGGATGCAAATAAAGCTGTTGGACCAGACAAAGTATCACCGTGGATACTTAAAGAGGCAGCGCAGGCTCTCAGCGTGCCTCTGGCAATGATCTTTAATAAGTCACTTATGTCAGGAGAATTGCCCAGTTGCTGGAAGGAGGCAAATGTCGTACCGATTTTCAAGAAAGGTGATAGGGGAGGAGGCACTTAACTACAGACCCGTATCACTGACAAGCATCCCCTGCAAAATACTTGAAAGAATAATTAGGCTAAGACTTGTTGAGCACCTGGAGAGCATTGGGTTTGTAAACAAGCACCAACATGGGTTCTGGACAGGGAAATCATGCCTAACAAACCTTTTAGAATTCTATGATAAAGTAACAAGGATAAGGCAGGACAGAGAAGGCTGGGCAGACTGCATATTTCTTGACTGCCAAAAGGCCTTTGATACAGTACCGCACATGAGACTGCTATACAAACTTGAGAGGCAGGCAGGAGTAAGCGGAAAGGCCCTAGTATGGGTGAAGAACTACCTAACAGGAAGGAGCCAGAGGGTAATGGTAAGGGGCGAGAAGTCGGACTGGCGAACAGTAACAAGTGGAGTACCTCAAGGATCGGTGCTGGGACCAATCCTCTTTCTAATTTACATAAATGATATGTTTACAGGAGTGGAATCATACATGTCAATGTTTGCGGATGACGCAAAATTAATGAGAAGAGTTGTGACAGACGAGGATTGTAGGATCCTCCAAGAGGACTTTAACAGGTTGCAGAGATGGTCAGGGAAATGGCTACTGGAGTTTAACACCAGTAAATGTAAAGTTATGGAAATGGGATCAGGTGATAGGAGACCAAAGGGACAGTACACAATGAAGGGGAACAGCCTACCTGTAACGATTCGAGAAAGAGACCTGGGAGTGGATGTGACACCTAATCTAACTCCTGAGGCACATATAAATAGGATAACGACAGCAGCGTACTCTACACTGGCGAAAATTAGAACTTCATTCAGAAACCTAAATGAGGAGGCTTTTAGGGCGCTTTACACTGCCTACGTGAGACCCGTCTTAGAGTATGCCGCGCCATCATGGAGCCCCCACCTGAAGAAACACAAAGAAACTGGAGAAGGTCCAGAGGTTTGCGACGAGGCTTGTCCCAGAGTTACGAGGGATGGGATATGAAGAGCGTCTGCAGGAACTGAACCTTACGACACTAGAGAAAAGAAGGGAGAGAGGAGATATGATAGGGACATATATAATACTCAGAGGAATTGACAAAGTGGAAATAGATGAAATGTTCACACGTAATAATAACAGAACGAGGGGACATGGGTGGAAACTGGAAACTCAGATGAGTCACAGAGATGTTAGGAAGTTTTCTTTTAGCGTGAGAGTAGTGGAAAAATGGAATGCACTTGGGGAACAGGTTGTGGAAGCAAATACTATTCATACTTTTAAAACTAGGTATGATAGGGAAATGGGACAGGAGTCATTGCTGTAAACAACCGATTGCTGGAAAGGCGGGATCCAAGAGTCCATGCTCGATCCTGCAAGCACAAATAGGTGAGTACAAATAGGTGATTACACACACACACACACACACACACACACACACACACACACACACACACACACACACACACAGAGGGATTGACAGAGTGGACATAGACGAAAGGTTCACACGGAATAGTAACAGAACGAGGGGACATGGATGGAAGCTTGAAACTCAGATGAGTCACAGAGATGTTAGGAAGTTTTCTTTTAGCGTGAGAGTAGTGGGGAAATGGAATGCACTTCAGGAACAGGTTGTGGAAGCAAATACTATTCATACTTTTAAAACCAGGTATGATAGGGAAATGGGACAGGAGTCATTGCTGTAAACAACCGATGCTCGAAAGGCGGGATCCAAGAGTCAATGCTCGATCCTGCAGACACAACTAGGTGAGTACAACTAGGTGAGTACACACACGATATAAGGGAAGTTAAGTTGGAAGCCCCCCCCCCCCCCCTTGGGAATGAGTGATCACAGTGTATTGATCTTTGAGTACCTGGTTGAGCTAGGAATTATCTCCCGAAATAAAAGAACTGGGAAACAAAGGGCTGGCGTACCGAAAGGGGAATTATGAGATGAATAAATTCCTAAGGGATATACCATGGGACACAGAACGAAGTTCGTACAAGACATGATGGACTATGTCACCCAAAAGTGCCAGGAGGCTGTAAGCAGGTTTGTCCCAGCCCGACAGGAAAAACCGAGAAGCAAAAGAAGAATCCATGGTATAATAGGGAATGTATGAAAGCAAAGGAACTGAACAAAAGGGCATGGAGGAACTTCCGAAATAACAGAACAGCAGAAAGCAGAGAGAGATACCAGAGAACCAGGAATGAGTATGTCAGGGTGAGAAGAGAAGCTGAGAAAAGTATGAAAGTGATATAGCAAATAAAGCCAAGACCGAACCAAAGCTACTACACAGTCACATCAGGAGCAAAACAACAGTGAAGGAACAGGTGATGAAACTTGGAATGGGTGAGGACAGGTACACAGAGAATGGCAATGTGGGAACCGACCTGTGAGATTTATATTTATTTAATTTATATAGAATTTATATTTACGTTAATTTATATATTTCGATAGCAATTTGTATAATGTTAAGTGGACTGTATTTCTGCAATAATCTCACAAATCGATCCTTTACACATTAGGGGGGTTTATATTAAATTTATATATATGCAGCCAATCAAACTACAGTATTAACTACACATTAGTGTACATTGAAGAGGT